GCCATCACACACCACGGCACTGGACCCCAGTGAGATACCATCACACACCATGGGACTGGACCCCAGTGAGAGGCCATCACACACCACGGGACTAGACCCCAGTGATAAGCCATCACATACCACGGGACTGGACCCCAGTGAGAGGCCATCACATACCATGGGACTGGACCCCAGTGAGAAGCCATCACATACCACGGGACTGGACCCCAGTGAGAAGCCATCACACACCACGAGACTGGACCCCAGTGAGAGGCCATCACACACCACGGGACTGGACCCAGTGAGATGCCATCACACACCACGAGACTGACTAGGATGTTTCAAACTGGAGCTCATACACAGCTGATGTACATGTAAAATGGCACAACCACTTTGTAGAACAGTGTGACAGTTCCTAAGACATCAACCACACACTCACATGACCTGGCGATTCCATTCCTAGGTATTTACCCAGGGGAAGTGAAACCATGTATCCCCAGAAAGACTCAAGGCAGCATTATTCCTAATAGCCCTGAACCGAAACCCCGTGACCAGCAACTGGGGGACGGCTACCCAGACGATGTAATTCTGTTCAGCATGGAACGAAACGGAACAAACTGCTGCCACGCTCAGTAGGGCGACTCAGCAGCACTGTGCTGACAGGAGGATTCAGGAGAGACTGTGCACTATCTGATTCAATTTATAAGAAGTTATAGAAAAGGCAAAACTCAAGTGATAAGAAGAGTGTCAGCGGCTGCCAGGAGCCAGAGGATCAGGGCAAGGATTGACTGCAAAAGGTCAAATAACTTTTTGGGGTGATGTTAGATGTTCCATATGGCGATTGTGGTGGGGGTTACGCTACGGTACACATCTATTGGAATTCTTGTTTTGTGTACCCACAATTGGTGAATTTCAGTGTATGTAAATACAGCCTAGTAAAGCTTATAAAAAGAGAAAAAAACCTTTCCTTCTATCCCACTGCCTGGTGCACACAGTGACAGCTCAAGACACGGCAATCACCGGGCAGTGACGGGGATAACTGGGAACCCAGGTCCACTACCTGATGCTGCAGACCTTGCTCCAGACTGAGACTCCTTGTGAGGCGACAGTGGGGACAGTTCACTGGCAGGAGGACGACTGTTCTTATTCTCACTCTTGCCCGTAACACACTGCTAGAAAGTGAGGACACAAGAAAAGACACTTTAATTTTAACGTCTTGAGCACCATATCACAAATACAGCACCTCCTTTGTCTGTGGCTTTGCTTTCTACAGTTTCCGTTACTCGCCATCAGCTGTGGCCCAAAATATTAAGTAGAAAAGTCAGAAATAAACAATTTGTTAAGTTTTCAATTGAGCTCCATTCTGAGTGGTATGATGAAATCTCAAGCTGTCCTATTCTGTCCGGCCTGGGATGGGAATTGCTGTGTGTGCTCCCCCGTGAGTCCCTTAGCAGCTGTGCTGCTCATCAGATCTGCTGCTGTGGAACCACAGTGCTTGTGTTCATGTGATCTTATGTGATAGTGGCCCCAAAGCATGAGAATAGTGATGCTGGCAACTGGGATATGCCAAAGAGAAGATGTGAAATGCTTCTTTTAAGTGAAGAGATGAAAGTTCTTGATTTAATAAGGAAAGAAAAAAAGTGTGTCGAGGTTGTTAAGATCTTTAGTGAAAACAAATCTTCTATTTGTGAAACTGCGAAAATCAGTATACTCAATGTTTTATTATTGTTAATTTCTTATGCTTAATTTAGAAATTACACTTACTGTAGGTATGCATGCATAGGAGAAAACATTCTGTATGCAGGCAGCCCCTGAGTTATAAACATCCAACTTATGTACAAGTCGCACTTAAGAACAGAGACTATTATAGGTAATAGGTAAATGTACCCATTCCAACTTAACACACAATTTCAACTTAAGAACAAACTTACAGAATGTTATCTCATTCATAACCTGGGGACTGCCTGTATAGGGTTTGGTACTACCCATGGATTCAGGCATCCAGTGGGGGCCTTGGAAAGTATCCCCATGGACGAGTGGGGACTCCTGTAACTGGCACCTTCAACATCACGTTAAGCAGAATAGAATTTACATATATAGCTAGGAAGCAAAACTTTTCCAGCCTGTCCCCACGTGTGTGATCCAAGTTCCTATATAATGCTACAGCTACTGCTGTTTTCGGAACACCTACTCCTTTCCAGGCACCACACAAGTGTGAGCTTTAATTTTCTTTGTCATCTGGCAACTATGTATCAACCACATTCTATGTTCCAAGCCCTGGTGCAAACACCAGGGACACAACAAGGAACCAGACAAAGCTCCCATTCTCCCCGAGAGTCCAGTGCTTGGAAAGAATACTAGAAAAATACCACATCATTCAGTCCTCAGGGAAAGCTATGAAGTAGTAGCCATTTCACTTTTCTAATAAGGAAACAAAAGCAAAAAAATTAATAAAAGAGTTAAATAACTTGTCTAACCCACCTAACTAGCAAAGAGAGTGGGGTTTGAACCTATCTCTTACTTCACAGAGCTGACTTTGCTCACTGTGACCTGCTGCTTTGCCTCAGACTGTAACAAGTGCATTAATAACAGGCTTTCAAAAATGAGCGTATTTTCCTAGTTTGGATCACTGGACTTAGAACATCTGTTAAAGAAAGGTATTATAACTTGGAGGGAAGACCAAAGGAAAAAGGTGTGTAAATAATCACACTCGTCTTGGACTCTATACTTGATACAGTAATGTCAGTGTCCAAAGTTTAACCTGGCAAATAAATCTGAAGATGCCACTTCACATAGAGAGATGAAAAGTTAAAGGGAACTCATTGAAAAATGTGTGTTTTTGAAAACGACACATTTAAGTGTGAAACTATCAACTGGCTACTCTACTGATAATAAAAATGGCTTCTACCACCCGCTTCATACATGCCTGTTATATACAACTGTGCATAAAAAGATCACCACATTCCTATCACATCAATATGGCTTGTGCCCATCTTACCAGACCACAACTACAGTTATAAGCAAAAAATATATATACATATTTTGAGACAGAGTCTTGCTCTGTCACCCCAGGCACAGTACAGTGGCATCATCATTGCAATCTCAAACCCCTAGGCTCAAGTGATCTTCGTACCTCAGCCACCTGAGTAGCTGGGACTGCAGGTGCCTGCCACAACACCTGGCTAATTTTTCTACTTTAAACCACTCTTGCTCAGTCTGGTCTCGAACTCCCGAGCTCAAGTAAACCTCTTGCCTCGGCCTCCTAGAGTGCTAAGATTATAGGTATGAGCCACTATACTTGGCCACCATGCCTATACTACTATAGGCAATGAACATATTTAAGTTTAATATCTAGGTATCAAATTTTACAAAGTGGAAGGAACCCAGTTCCTACAGAAAACTTGAAAGATAGCACTTTGGGGAAAAACCTCGCAAAGGATCTAAAAACTATAGAGCACAGGAGATCCTTTAATTCCTACTTTCAAATGGAGTCAGGTAGTATGTTTCATGTTCATATAGAATAGGCTTATATAGTCCAACTGCAACAGTAATGCAGATTACTCACTTAAGCTGTCAGTACTGAACCCCCATGCACCTGCCTTACTTTGAATAAGGTATTTACTCTTATCATTTGTGGGCTGAAAATTAGCATCACTTACATACTCAGGTTTTGGGCAAATATCCCTTTTCATGTGATCTGAAAATTCAGAAGATTTGGGCATTTCCTCCTGAAGTAAGTTCAGCTGCAGTGGTGAGCTGCTCCTTGAACTAATAAACGGGTGCCCTTCACCACCAGTCTCCCATTGCTCCTCAACTCCCGTCTGGATGGTGACTGAAGGTGATGGTTCTGGGTATGGAGCCACTGCTGCTGTTGGGGGTGGTATTTCAGAAGAATCTGTTGCTCCCAAGAATGGATACGGAAAGAATGATGATGACAAGAGAGGACAGACTGGGGGGCTATGCAGGAAAATGGTCATGACAGTATCCAAATAAGGAGGGGGGAAAGCTGGGAGAGGCTGCAGGCCACTGGCCGAGGGCGGCTCAGGCAGATGGTCTAGTGCAGTGCCCACAGCTGCATCTCCTCTTCCTAGAGAGGTCACGGGTGGGAGGGGGAAAGCTGGGGTGAGGTAAGGGGCCTGGCTGGGAATCATCACAGAAGACGGGAATGACAGGCCCAAGGCGTGAGGACAGGAGGCAGCAGGAGGGTACTGGGGCTGTGTGCGGCCAAGAGTTCCCCTGGTGTGGGGTCTGGAGCCGGCATCAGAGCTGCTGCTGGCCGAGGGTGCCGGCACCTTCTTGCGTTTATGCTTCCCCTTCTTGCAACCAGCTGATCTTGTCTGTTTAGAAGTAGAATCTCCTGAAAGGATAAACATGGAGGCAAATTATGGAAACTTAAACCCCAAAAAGAAGAGAACAATGTCATTTATAGATCATGAAGGAATATGCCTTTGCCAACCCTACCAGGATGGCAAAAAGTAGCTCCAAAAAGATGAACAAAATTCTAGATAAAAATTGCTATAAAATTAACTTTTCCCAGTATTTCTCAATTTCTTAGAAAAAGGAGTTACTCAGACTGAGGATCCTAGATATTTTATTTATTTTTTATTGAACGGCAACTATGTACATTAATGCACTTCTGGGGTACAGTGTGGGGCTTTCACACACAATCCGAAACACTTCCATCAAACTGGTTAATATAGCCTTCATGTCATTTTCTTAGTTATTATTTTAAAACGTTCACATTCTGCTCTTAGAAAGATTCGCTTGTACCCTTGTAAGATAAACCTCAGAAATGATCCCTCCAATCCCCCTCCCTCCACCCATTCCCCCCTCCCCTCTCCCTCCTCCCTTCCTGTATTCTTAGGCTGTTATTAGGTTATAGAACCCTAGATAAGTTATTGACACAAATGGATTTATCTTGGCTTCTCTCAGTTTCTTACAAGCAAAACTGCTGCTCTCCACTCACCTTCCAGGACCTGCATACATAATCTTACTGGCATGAATTTTTAAGAATGTATGTACCTGGAACAAAAGAATATTTAGCTTCGTTTCTGCTTTCCTGCTGAAGATAGGAGCTATAGGGTGATGACAGGATCCTCTCCCGGAATTTATCAACGTAATTCTGTTCCTCCTTCTGTGTGTGGGCTGACAGTACAGCCTTCGTGAGCCCTATGGGCTTGAACTCATCCGAGGTCAAAGGGACTGGCTGTGTGTTGAGAGTCCAGGGCTCACATGCCAGGGTAGCATCTTCTGCTGAGGTGGAAGGAGACATAATTTAATTTTACCTCCTATCAATTATTTGTACTTATTTATTTTTATTTTTCAGATTAACTTTCAGTAAATTTTTACAAACATTATTACAACTGTTGGAGTATAAAAAAATTTCATCAGCCTAGCACATTCTTATTTTCTATCTTTATTTGTATTCTTTGTATAAATAAATGTACATACATTTTATACTTGTAATAAGCAGTACACATCATTTATTTAAATTTTGCTTTTGTTTTAAACATTTTTTCTCTCCCTGAATTCAAAATTTTTATTTTTCAATTTATTTTTAAATAGGTAATACATTCATGTGATTAAAAAATCAAGAAATAGTGAAAAGCTATTTAGTAAATTCTCCCAATCCCTGTCCATCATCTGCCTCATTCTCCCTCTAAGGAACCCTTCCTTTTACTTATCCTTCTAGCTCCTTCAAGTATGGGCAATTAAATTTATGAGTTCGTATCTTCCTCCCTGACCCCACAGCAACCCACAAGGCACAGATGTGTATTAGGCTGCAACTCACTGTTTCACTTCCCATCTGCTGGAGAACGTCATCAGTACTCCAGATAGTTGTCTCACACCTGTACACTGCCCAGGGTTCCATTTCATGTGTATAACACTCTTTATACTAAAGTAAGAATCATCTGTGGATGGACTTCGGGCTGTCTTTTATAATTGTTTATATACACATTTATTATTTATATATAATAGCTGTACATTTTATGTATTGTTGATATATAGCAGTTGTACGTATTTTTGTATTGCTTCTAAAAACTATTTCCTCCAAGAACAAAGGCTTTATGATGGGCACTGTGGTGGCTCCCCCAACATCTATCCCATCTTCCAATGCTGCATAACAGCCAGGTGGTTTGGCCCCACTCCAGTCTAAAAGGGGAGTGCCTGGCCTACTGGCCAAGATGGAGTAACAGGGATCAAATTTACCTCTTGCCTGAAATGACTAAGATAAAAATAGACAAGATATATGAAAATGGTATGTTTCAAGGCGCTGAATATTAAATAATGAGAGTGATCCTGAGGACATGAAATAAATGAGGTGCGCCCTTGGACTGCCCCTGCTTAGACTGCCCCTGCCTACTGTCTGGAGAGTCTGCAAGGTACAGGATGGGGGACCCGGGTGATGGTCCACTGAAACCAAGGTGGCTAGAGTTTTCAGGAAAGCGTACTGGAAAGGAAAGAGCAGCTGTAGAGAGAGAACGCCGGGAGCTACAGAATCTAAGAGGACTTACTCACCAGGGCATCCATGTGAGGAGAAAGCCTACCTGAAGGATTACAGGGAAAAACGAATGAAGTTCACAAAGGTGGAGAACAGGGGTTGTTCCCATCAGCCAGACTAGAAAATCTTGTAACTCACCTGGCAGTGGGTAGAGTACCCAGAAGGATCTTGCCTCCATAGCAAGAAAAATTAGGCCTAGACTACACATTGCACTGGTCTTGCCTAAAAATGTAAAAAGCAAGGCCTAACTGGATCAATCTGTTTCCAGGTTAACTGGGTGCCACAATAAAGCTCAAGAATATTTATTGGCATACAGAAATCTTCAGGACGCATCCACAGTATCTGGCATCCCATCAAAAATCATTAGGCATGCCAAGAAGCAACAAAGTACACCCCGCAGTAAGGAAAACAGACACTGAGACACAGCATGCAATGGATACAGACACAAGACGGTGGACATCTGAAGCAATCTTGAAAAAGAACAAAGTCCGAGGATTTAAACTGATTTTAAGACCTACTGTGAAGCTACGTGAATAAAGATCCCTGCGTACTGGCATAAGGGGTTTATCAATTTCAGAGAACCAACTTCAGTGTTAATTTTCTCTTTTGTTGATTTCTGCTTTTATCTTTATTCCTTCCTTCCACCTTGGGTTTTCCTTGATCTTCTTTTGCTAGCTTCCTAAATTGGAACCTCAGATTACTGATTTGAGACATTCCTTAGCATTCAAAGCTATTAATCTCCTTATAAGCTGATTTTTAGCTGCATCCCGCAAATTTTACTATACTTTATTTTCATTATCATTCATTTTGAAATACTTTCTAAATTCCCTTTGTGATTTATTCTGTAAATCATGGATTATTTAGAAATGTATTATTTAATTTCTAAAAGTTTGGGTTAATCTATCTTATTATTGATTTTTAATGTAATTCACTCTAGCTGAGGGTAGTTAACACATCACCAATACTTTCACATTTGAGACTTTTATTGCAGCTCAACATGTTTTATATTTCAGTGGACATAGTGTGTGTACCTAAAAAGAATGGGTGTAATGCAGTTACTGCAGTTATTAAGTGTCAAGTTCTCTAAATGTCAACTAGGTCAAGGTAGCTCAGAAGTGTTCAGGTCATTTCTTTCTTAATTTTTTTTGGTTTGTTTTTTGCCTACATGTTTCATTAACTGTAGACACAGGTGTAAAAATCTTCCAACTATAATTATGGAAAGTCTATTCTCTCTTTAACATTTTCCGTTTTTGCTTTTTATCTTTCAGAGCTGTTATTAGTGAATACACATGACTATTATATGCCTTTCTGATGAAATGACTATCTTATCATCACAAAATGACCCTGTTTTAAAATTTATTTTATGTAAGACATATCTGAAACACAATATGCGTGATGGCTGGACACTTTCCGTACAGCTCACGGAAACTATTAGCACAGAAACTCCAACCTTCTCAGCTTGTGGCCTGGACTGTGTGTCTACTCTCATGCTAGCTGTAAATTTAAACTGTACTTTTCAGACAGCCAAATAGTTGGGTCTTGACTTTTTTGACCTGTTCTGACAACTTTTGCCTTTTAATTACAGTGTTTAGTCCGTTTTATATCATTATATATCATATAGCTGGATTTAGAGCTATCATTTTTTGGTTTGGTTCCTGTTTCTTGCTGTTAATCTCTTCTTCCTTTCCTGTCCTTGTTTTGGATTGAGTATTTTTTAAAATTTAATTTATCAATTTTCTTTTTAGTTAATCTTGCATCTTACATTCTACTTTATTGAGACTCTGCTGTAAGTTCAAAATATCCAGAATGAAAACAGCTCCTGGAGTCAGCTGTTAATATGTGATTCCTATTCTGCTCATGTGCTCTGTGACTCTGGACCATTAATTATGTCATCTGTTTGTGCCTTAATTATCCTGTGTACAATAAAGTGGAGACAACTTGCAAGGAAAATGCCTTTGTGATCATGGTCCTCAGATTCCCATTTAGAGCCAGGAGGCATGAATATGGATTTTCAGGAAGCAGAAGACATAGAGCTACTACGCGGCTTAGGAATATCTGGGCTTTGATTCTGCTTTTTGTCCTTCGAGTAAGCCTTGCAGATGCTGACTGATTTAGTATCACAAGAAACTATTATCAGTGAGTATTTCCCAAAGCATACAGATTTCAGCAAAAATTTATTCAAACTGTAATATAACATCAGAGTATACAAAATGCAACAGGCCAGGCACAGTGGCTCATGCCTGTAATTCTAGCATTCTAGGAGGCCAAGATGGAAAGATCCCTTGAGCTCCAGAGTTTGAGATCAGCCTGAAGAACAATGAGACTCAATCTTTACTAAAAATAAAAAACTTAGCTGGGTGCAGTGGTGCACACGTGCAGTCCCAACTACTTGAAAGACTGAGGTAGGAGGATCACTGGAGCCCAGGAATTTGAGGTTGCTGTGAGCTAGGCTGACGCATGGTACTCTAGGTGGGGCGACAGAGGAAGACTCCTATCCAAAAACAAAACAAAATGAAACAAAACAAGAAAAAAACACACAGTGGCATACTCAGAAAAAGAGCTTTCCATATTGGGTGAGACCCTCTCTAATTTGTATGGGCTGTGTCATGGACAGTTACCTGCCCACAGAGGATTCCAAAGTGTTAAGAAAATGTATACTAAAAACTGTGTATATATGCTCCTGTCCTGAGGGGCTCAGTTCCAAATAAACGCTATTTTTTGCTATTTAGAAACATCATCTAATCTCACAACAGCTGTGTCTCTGTTCTTTCCCCACCAACCACAGTTCCCCTTGTCAGTCCCACATCTCACAGAGCTGTTGGGAGTGCGTGCCTGCAAAGAACCAAGAACAGGAAGTGGGACACAGAAACAACTCTCCACGGGAAGCTACTATGTCACCAAGGACTAGCAAAGAGAAAGAAAGCAGAGATAATCTGAAAACCTAATTTAACACGTTTTTCACCATTTCTTCATCTACCAAATTGTATATGAAGCAATGAAAAAGACAAAATGGATAAGAGGCAGTGAAAAGGAATTTTTAAAAAAGGCATTAGAATAATTTACCAAGTAATTATGCTATTAAACAAAGAGAGTTTAAAAAGTACTCTTGCCAGGTGCGGTGGCTCACACCTGTAATTCCAGCACTGTGGGAGGCTGAGGAGGGAGACTGCTTCAGCTCAGGAGTTTGAGACTTGCCTGAGTGACAGCGAGACCCTCACTCATGAAAAACAATGGAAAAACCCAGCCGGGTGCTGTGGCAACCGCCTGTAATCCCAGCAGCTTCCGGAAGCTGAGGCAGCGGGATGCCCACAAGCTGGAGCCTGAGGGTGCAGTGAGTTACCAAGCCATTGCACTCTGCTCAGGGGCACAGGGTGGGACACTGTCTCAAAAAAAAAAAAAAGCAACAAAATAAAAAAAATTCTCAAAAGTACTCTTTTCATTGTTATCAGACTAGCACAAAAATGTAAATGCACATGTGACTGATTTAGTCAATGCAGCTGAAATGCATTAGAAAGAACATCTTCTTTATGGTCATAACGAAGTAACCTACTCAGCCCCATCAATGACTGCATTAACAAAGGCTCACGCTAACTGAGGGCTACTGAGGGCTTACCGCTGTGCACCTGCCAGGCATGTTCTAAGTGCTCTGCAAAAGATGTCCCTGACAGATAGAACCTAAGAGAAATATAGTTCAAAATATGTAACCAGCACAAGCCTAAAAACATTCCTCCCAAATACTTTAATTGAATTAAAAGGAAAAAATAAATATTTATAACGTATTTAGTAATACACAATAATATTATAGGTAGCAGTGCACTTAGGTCTAAGCTTAATATTTATAACGTATTAAGCAAGTGTAAGTATTAATGATTTTTGCTCTTCCCAGCACATTTAGGTTGACTATGTTTCCTGAGTGGCAGGTAAACACCTACCTGCCTCTGTGGGCGGGACGTGAACCATGGTGCTGCTGTAACTGCACTGGCTTATGCCTGACCCCAAGCTCAGCGCTGCAGTGGACAAGGTACGTGGGGCTCCTACTTCAGCATCTGTGGACCATTCATTTGCTGGCATTTCTGACTTAGGTATGGCTGGGATCTGAGAAACAGCTGGTGATATAAGAGAAACTGACAGTCAAAAGCAAAATTCCCATTAGGAAATCCATATAAAAGACCCAAACAGTTCACAGTTTATAAGTGACAAATTAAAACCTGCTGGCTATTAAGAAGTAATACAAAACAGAATTTTATGATTATAATGCAATAATCAAAGACAAGAAATAAAAGAGAAACAGAGAGAAAGGACAGATTGTTCGTCATATCTAACACTGAAGGGCGTTCTCGTACCGTGCAATGCTTGGACATCATCCGCCTTGAGGTTCTGTTTGTCGTCTTCAGAGGATGAAGAAGTTGTATTTGCACAGGATACGTACTTTCTTTTTAAAGCTGGAATATTATAGCTCTTCAGGTATCTGCAACAACGTAAGTAGGCACCTATTGTTACTGCCCCTTAACTGGGCCATTTCCTACCTCTTCACTTTTCTCACGCCCCTTCTGTTGGGCGCTTTGACGACATCCTCCCTGATCATCCCAGCCTCCATCACTGGAGTACATCTCCTTCACTATGGTCTTGAATAATCTCTAAATGTTTCAGGTCTTGTCTTCTCAACTGTACCATAGTGCCTTCAAAGAAAGGGCACGTCTTCTAATTTTTCACACCTTCCATAATATTCAGTAAACCATGAACTGCATGTACCCCATAAGTATCTACTGATTTACAGTGAAAAATCAAGAAAGGATAGTTATAAAAAAAATCTATGACGACTCCACTGTTACGATGTATGCTTTTGGAAAAAACTAACATGTTATCAAAACTTGCATCTCATACCTGATAACACTGTCAATACAGTTTATTTGTTGATAGGATGGGCTGTGCTGACCTTTCCTCAAATCCTCACAAGACTCAGTACACAAGCTATTATTTCTCAATGTCTGGAAGGAAGAAAAGGCCTTCTGCTCATCTGGAAGAAAAATGAAAGGCTGTGCAATTAAAAATATTAAACACGGAGTTAAGCACATACATTTACCCAACAAAATTAAATCATGGTACTTTATGAGAAGAAACAGCTATTAAAATGAACTTAGACCTAAGTGCACTGCTACAAAGATATTCACAGAAGTTAATGTAAACAAAGTTCAGAGCACAATACACACAGAATGATTACATCTCTATTTAAAAAAAAAATAAAGAGTGAAACAAATGCTTCAGGCAAAGATTATCACAGACTGAAACTATAGGTGGAAGCTGGAAGGGAACTTTCCAGTGTTGAGCTGACACTACTGGTCCAATTGGTCAATCCCAGCATCACTCAGGAGGGATGAACACCACGGCGCCTTCTAGTAGGTGTGTAGTGGTATCTCATGGGGTTCCAATTTCTTTTTGTCTAAGGACTAATGAGGGTCAGCATCTTTTCATATGCTATTAGCTATTCACATTCTTTTTTGGAAATGTTCAGATTTCTTGGCCATTTTTAAATAAGGTTATTTGTCTTATATTTTTGAAAGTTCTTTACATATGCTGAATTCAATTTCTTCACCATATATGTAATTTTCAAGTACTGTCTTTTGTCTTTTCAGTGTCTTTCAAAAATAAGTTTTAAATTTTAAGAAAGCCCAATTTTCTTTCCTTCCATCGTTTCATATAGATGACTTATAAATTTTACTACCTTTTGATTTAATTAGTTTTCTCTATTTTTTTTTGTTTTCAATTCCACTGACAGCTGGTCTTTATTCTTTCTTCCTGATTCTGTGTGTCCTCTTTCATTTGTCTCTTAAGGAAGAAGGAGGGAGCTTAGATTCCTGAGTTGGGACCGTTCTTTTCTTTCCCATCCAAATATGTAATGCTGTGAATTTCCCTTTGAGCACTATTTTAGTTTTGTCCCACATATTTCATGTTCTCTTTTCATTTCATTCAGTTCAAACGTTTTTATTTCCCTTGAGACTTCCTCTTTGACCTGCAGATTGTTTAGAAGAATATTATTTAATTTTTAAATATTTGGGGATTGTCTTCGTAGATATTGTTACTGATTTCCGGTTTAACTCATTATGTTCAGAGAATAAACTCTCTACAATCTCTAGAAAATTTAAGATTTGTATCATAGGCAAGACTACGGTCTGTTCTGATGACGTGCTTCATGAGACAGCACATCAAGTTGCGGCAGTGAAGTACCCATGACCACCAGCACGGCGCCCCCTGGAGACAGTGCTGTGCCAGTCTTCTCTGTCCTCATTTCCTGCCTCCTTCCTTTATCAATCAGAGGAGTCTGCTGAAATTGGAACCACCACTAAGAGACCTATTTTTCTCCTTGCAGTGCTGTCATCTTTTGCTTCCTGTATTTCGAAACTGTTAGGTGAATAACCATGTAAGCGAATCACCTCCCTTACTGCTACGCTCTGTCCGTAACCCTAGTAACAGTCCCCGTTCTGAAGTCTACTTTGTGAGATTAACGCAGCTTCTGTCTGTCTTTTGGTGTGTGTCAGCCTGGGGTCACTTTCAAGTCTTTTAGCAGGCTTTCATGTTCACAATGTGCTCTTGTAGACAGTAAGCAGCTGGGTCTTTTCATCCAATGTCACAACTTCTGTCTTTAAACTGGAGATCATTCCCATGTAATGTCATTATTGATACTGGTGGATTCAAATATGACAACTACTGGTAGTTTTCTCTTTGCTCCCTTCGTTATTCAATTTTTCATTAAATTTTTTTTTTTCAGTCTCTCAGGCTGAGGCAAGACAATCCCATAAATCCAGGAGTTGGAAGTTGCTGTGAGCTGTGTGATACCACAGTACTCTACTGAGGGCAATAAGTGAGACTCTGTCTCCACAAAAAAAAAGAAAGAAAGAAAGAAAGAAAGAAATGTAGTGTCTCTGTTGCCCAGGATGGATGGGAACTCCTAGGCTTAAACAATCCTCCCACCTCAGTCTCCTGAGTAGTGGGGAGTATAGGCACATGCCACCAAAGACCCAGCGCTAGTTCTGTTCTTTTTGGTTCCTTTTTTCCTCCTTTTGGCTATCTTAAACCCCATTTTATTTCCTTTTTTGATTTATTACATGTACTTCTATAAATTTTTTTCTAATTTTTTTTTCTCAAGTTTCCTGGACATATTAAGTACCCACTGTTTACCTCCAAGTCATATTATGCTGTTTCAAATATAGTGTAAAGACCTTACAACAGCATATCTCCAAGGCCTGCTCCAACCTCTGCAGTACTGTTGTCATGTAATTCACTTTTACAGCTACTGGAAATGTAGAGTACTGTTTTTGCTCTAGTTGGTTATCTTTTAGAGTAATTAAAACATAATTTCTAGAGCTTGTTACGTCTTTGTGTAGATATAAGTCTTTTTGTGTGGTATCATGCTCCTTTTGCCTTAAGAAATTCTAAATAAAGGAATAATAAAGAATAAGTCTGCTGCCAATAAATTCCCACAATCTTTAAGAAATAGGACAATGGATTTTCCCAAAGATATTTTCCACTAGGTATAGAACTCTGTGTTGACAGGTTTCTCTTTGAAGACATGACTCTATTATTTGTGGTTGTTTGACCCCCAACAGTTTTTCTGTCACCCACAGTGGAGTGTAGCTGTGAAATCACAGCTCACTATGACCTCAAATTCCTGGGCTCTGCCTTAGCTAGAACCACAGGCACATGCCACTATGCCTACTAACTCTTTAGTTCCTGTAGAGGTGGGGTCTTGCTATATTGCCCAGGTTGGTTCAAACTCTTGGCCTCCAGTGATCATCCAGCCTTGGCCTCCCAAAGTTCTGGGATACAGGCTGAGCCACCACTCTGGCCTCTATTGTTTTTCTAGTGTGCATGGCTTCTGAAAAAAATGTCCATTGTAATTATTATTGTTTCTCAGTATGTAACCTTCTTCCCTCTGGGTGCCTCCAAAACTTTCTCTTTAGTTTTATTTGCATCAGTTTGAATATAACACGCCCAAGGGTTTTGTTTTTGTTTTGTGTTTAACTTACTTGAATGTTCTTCAGGATTTACAGAAAATTCCAGGCCATTATGTCTTGAAATATTTCTTCTGAGATTTCAATTATACACATGTTAGAATCTTTTTGTTTCAGTCTGAGTAATTTTCCAAGCAATCTATCTTTGAGTTCACCAGTTCTTCTTTTGGTTGTGTTGAGAGCATCAAAGACAGTTTCCATCTCCTCATCTCTGGCACTTGTAACATTTCCACTTGATCCTTGTGCATCTCTGTGCTGTAGTCACCCCCTCTCCCCCAGTCTTGCAGGCTGCGCACCTTTTCCATTAGTATTATTAATGTATTCTTAATTATTTTAAGTTCCCTGCCAGATAGTTCCAACTTCTATATCGTATCTTCATCTTATTTTGAGGGCTGCTTTGTCTCTTGAGAATTTTTTTGCTTGCTTCACAATCTCTTGGTGAGAACTGAGTAACTTGGATAAGACAGTAGAGCTTGGGGATGCCTTTCCTTCTTAGGCTGGGTCTGAGGTCTGCTGCCGCAGTGTTTTTACACGATGTGAGAGGCTATTAGTTCCCTCCAGCTGCACTGGAGGCTGTAGAAGGGAGCTGGACTGTTCTGTTTTTTGTCACTCTCTGCTCTGCTGTTGGCCTTTGGTCTTCCTTTGCATTGTGCCTTGGAGAGGGTCCACATTTGGCAAGTCCTGAGATTCCGTCAGCCAGTACGCCCTGGTCCAGTGCCTGCACCTCCCTCCTCCAAGCGGGGTATCTTTCTTCTTAGGCTCTGGGCCTGTCAGGAACCTTGTAACCTCAGCACTCTGAGGAGGTCAAGGAAGATCATGAACGTGTTGTCTGCCTCGCCTTTTTCATTGTAAGTCTTGGGTGATGTTCTTTTCAGCTCTCTAATCCCCTGAGCAGAGACTGGAAGCAATCTCCCCCGAACCAGTTCCGTTTATGGGTCACATTCTCCCAAGGGTTCTACCACCCTGGACATGGAACACCGATTCCTCCTCATTTCCCCACTTACCTCTCTCGCAGTCGGCATCTGCACACGTAGCTGAAGGGGCTTTGCCTGTGTGTTTTTCCCTGCCCTCCCATGATAACTTTAAAATCTCCACTCTTACGCTACCTTAAAAGCATTAACTGCCCTTGTAAGAAAGATAAACACACACATTTAAAATCTTACCTTGTTGGCTCTGGTACTTTATATATAAGAAGTGTACACACTGATCAGTTAGCATTTTCCTTTCCCTTGGTGTATATTTCTACGCAATTTCTAACATTAAAATTGCGACATTTTTATTGTTACGTTCCATCCTCATTTCTCATGAGTAAGGAGTTCTAAAGACTTTAAATGTTAATAGAATCAAGACACCCAAGAAACATTAGTCCTCCAGGATTATACCAAAGTCACATCTCCTCTGTGTGGTGTTGGAGCCAAATACAAGCATCTACCTAGTGTCTCAGTCTCTAAAGCATCTGCTGAGCACAGAGTTACCGTAGCCTGAGTTTTATAAGACAGTGAATGACGGAATACTGCTCTCTCCCTAAATAAACAGCCTTCAGGGAATAGTACCATTGGTATCACAAGGTCAATGGTAGATGAGGAGAAGTTGAGTAATGCAGGTGAGAAAGGAAGCCGTTCTGAGGTGAAACAGGTCAGGAAGTGAACTGTGATACAGGATGACCAGATTCCAGGTCAAGGAAGCTGTGAGCAGGACTGACTATACCAGACAATCAAGAAAACATTTAGAAATTTTAGCTTTGCTACCTTCTGCAAAATGTTCTCTGTTAGGACACAGAATAAAGTAGCAAAAATGATATTTAAGATAAATTTTTTTAAGATAAATTCATTCATTCTGGTGGTTTTAAGAGACCAAACAAAAAAAAGGGCTGTTACGCTTTCTTGTGCCCTTATACACCTTACATGTAACAGAGGAAACCAATGGAATGCTTATTTACCTATCAAGACAGAAGGAGACAACTAAAGGATAGGATTTACTGTGTGTGGAGAGTCAAAGCACGTGTCCCTCCAAAACTCATGGTGGAACACAGAACACCCGTGTGACAGGACTAAAAGGCAGGAAGTCATGAGGGATCTGCCCTCATGAATGGGATTAGTGACCTTATTAAAGCTCTGGAAGGAACTAGCCAAGTCCCTTTTTTGCCTTTTCGTCCCTGTGCTGTGAGCAGAGTTCATCGCCCACTCTCCTGAGGATGTGACATTCAAGGCACTGTCCTGGATACAGAGACCTGGCTCTCCCTAGACACGACAGCACCCTGCTCCTTGGACTTCACAGCCTCCAGAACCGAGAGAAGTAGGTTTCTATTCTTTATAAACTATTCCATCTCTGGTGCTTTGTTATAGCTGCACACACTAAGACAGGGTCCCAGTGACATTGCCTATGGGAACAGTAGCTTGGTTTGTGGTGTGATTCATGTCAAGTACTGAAAAAAATAGCCATTGCTATTATTCACCTTAAAAAGGAAACTTCACTGCAACTGTGTGACAAGGATACACATTATCAATAACATTTAGGTACCTAAAAATACATCCTAACTTTGAAAATCATATTAACGTTCAGAGAGAAAAATGAAGAGAATGTTGGATAAATTAAAATGTCAATCTAACTGATCTCTGTATCAGAACTCTGCTATGCTATATAAAGCAACTCGGTTAACTTTTCAAATTAATGCCAATTAGTAGACCTGATACAATTCTTTTGGAATGATCCTTACCTAGTAAACATCTATCAAGAAAAAAGCCAAAGCTTTTCATTCAATTTAGGTCATAAAAATATTCTGCATTCATTTGCAATGACAGGAAAGGAATACTATTAAATATACTTTATTATTTAAAATGCATAGTAAAATCAATTCCTTTGGTTTATAGATAGCTCACATAAGGGGAAATCTATTGATCTGCGGGTATTGTTAGAAAAGTTAAGTCTCCAGTGAAAGTGCACAGGAACTACGTTCTCACACCACTCAGCTCTGGGAAGAGCACTTGCTGCTGCCTTTGTTATCACTGCTCTCGTCATTACCACTGGTTTCTGAACAAACAGAAACAGAAACAAACAGAAAAACATGGAAAGCAGAACACACAGCAGGGCTCACACCCACGACGTCTGGGCAGAGGATGACAGCCCGAGGAGGTCCTGGGGCTGCCCTGAGGACTCACCAGCACTGAGCGGCTCTGTGCATGTCCCCGTCACTGGCTTGACTGATGATCTGGTCATTGACTCAATGTATAGCTGCTGGCCCAGATTCTTAATTTTGTTTACACTGGCATAGACCTGTTGCAACGTCATCTTAGGAAAAGGAATGATAAAATGTTTCAAAAACCAGAAAAATGTGCATTAAAAGATACATAAGGCTCGGCGCCTATAGCTCAACCGGCTAAGGCGCCAGCCATGTACACCTAAGGTGGCGGGTTCGAATCCCCAGCCCGGACCCGCCAAACAATGACGGCTGCAACCAAAAAATAGCCAGGCGTTGTGGCGGGCGCCTGTGGTCCCAGCTACTTGGGAGGCGGAGGCAGGAGACTCGCTTGAGCCCAGGAGTTGGAGGTTGCTGTGAGCTGTAATGCCACGGCACTCTACCCAGGGGGACAGCTTGAGGCTCTGTCTCAAAAAAAAAAAAAAAAAAAAAAGATACATAAAATATACTTATCGTCTAGTTCTCTGAAGACATGCTGACTAAAAGCACAATAATCACTTTGAGTTTCCCTCGTGCCAAGTACACAGATAACACCGAACTATCTTTTTACAGCCACTTTCCCAAACTAACTGTCTGTTACCAACTGAGGCCTCAAGTCAAGAACATACACTATGATGTCACAACACACACAGAGCTGCCGCACTGCAGGGAACATGAGGCCTGTGCAGGGACACAGCATGCCCGCTCACCGGCTCCTTCCGCGGCTCCTCCGCACAGTGCCCACTGGACTCGCTGGAAGATGCTGCGCTCACGTGCTGCTCCTGGGAGCCGCTGCTGCCCAGGCTCCCGTAGCCACTGGAAGCGCTCACGTGGACTGGCTGAAAGGACCAAGAGGACCCGTTTCAGAGCTACTGGCTATCTAAATGGCAGGGTTACCTGCATCAGAGCTGATCCTGAATCATCTGAAAAGTAAGAGTAAAATTTGTGGAACTCTAAATTGTGTACAGGTTGATGCTTGAGCCCTGATTCTGTCTTGCAAGGCTCTGTCATTTCAGTAATTTTCAAGGGCAAAGACTTGTTTTCTAGTCTAGGTAGGTATTTCTGTGACAACAATTTTTTAAAAAGCCATAACATAATTTTTAGAAATAGAGAAATTCTATCCCTTTATGCTGAATTTAGAACAAATTCATTATCTTCCAGACTTTTTTCCAATAAGCTGACAGCATCTTGTGCATCCTAGAGATTTTGTGGCATACATTTTGAAAAGCACAGAGAACAATTATTCTATGTGACACCACCCGTTTTCTTTACTATGAACATAATGACTGAATGTTTAGTAGACACCATCTTTGGTATTTCTTTCCAACATGTAATTCCTCCTACTTTTACCTTATAATATCTAGAGGAACTGAGAACCACCACTTTCTCCCACTGTTCTCCCACTTTCAAAACCAGAACTGTTTTAAAACATACTGATGCCAAACCCAGAGGCTGAGCACACTGGTGCCACCTGGAAGGCAAGAAGAATCCTCTTACGCAGAGAGACTGCCCTGTCCCACTGCTGACTATGTGTCTGCTGTCTTAAAATGGGTTCTTATAAAATGTTTTGGGTATTTAACACAGAATAATAAAAAATTAATAAAAAAAAATAACAAAGATAAAAACCTGAGAAATGTAGATGGTTAGGGTTCATCTGTCCTTACAGTTTATTTTTGTGAAGTGACTTTATGAAGACTAAATGTTAAAACACGATTATGGGGATTTTGTGTTCGTTTTTTAAAATCTTACTTTACCTGCAAGAGAAGTTTGTGAATTTGTTCTTGTAATTCTGTTATGTCTTTGTCATTATTGTTCATCTTTTTTATTCTGGTAGCAAAAACATCCTCATTTAGTGGACTCCTACAAAATGCCAAGGGAAAGACTGAGTCAAGCAGTTTAAAATCCATCTGTGATGAAATCTAAAGTGATTTTCAATATTCAAAGAACACATCTATGCTTTTACAAAGTGACTCTGTGACTACAAATACAGAAAATATGAAGCTAAAATTTCATTCACAGCGCTCTAGACAATGCTAAGAAACAAATGAGATTTTTTTTTGAGACAAAGTCTTACTCTGCTGACCTGGATAGAGTGCCATGGCGTCAGAGCTCACAGCAACCTCAAACTCTTAGGCTTAAGCGATTCTCTTGCTCAGCCTTCCAAGTAGCTGGGATTACAGACGCCCACCACAATACACCTGCCTATTTTTTTTTTTTTTTTTTGAGACGGAGCCTCACATAGCTATCCCCCTGGGTAGAGTGTCATGGCATCACGCTCACAGCAACCTCCAACTCCTGGGCTCAAGTGAGTCTTCTGCCTCAGCCTCCCAAGTAGCTGGGACTACAGGCGTCCACCACAGTGCCCGGCCATTTTTTGGTTGCAGCCATCATTGTTGTTTGGCAGGCCCGGGCTGGGGATTCGAACCCACCACCTTAGGTGTATGCGGCTGGTGCCTTAGCCGCTTGAGCCACAGGCCGCCGAGCTGACCTGCCTATTTTTTTGTTGCAGTTGTCACTGTTGTTTAGCTGGCCCGGGACCAGGTTTGAACTCTCCAGCCTCAATGCATGTGGTCAGCACCACAACCACTGAGCTATGGGCACCAAGCCACACCTGGCTATTTTTAGAGATGGGGTCTTGGTCTGGCTTAGGCTGGTCTCGAACTGGTGAGCTCAGGCAATGCAATCCACCTGCCTTGGCCTCCCAGAATGTTAGGATTACAGGTGTGAGCTACCACGCCCGGCCAACAAATGAGATATTAATAGGCTTTTAAAGTTTCTCTATAGCCACAATTTTCCTACAAGTTTCAGTAAGACATGTATAAATCTAAAATTAGTGACAAGCAGCCTCCTTAGCTACTAAAGTATCTTTAACAACAACTGGTTTCAAAATGTGACATTAACTGAGAAACCTACTGTGAATTTTAAGACCCTAAGTTTACCAAATAACATTTAATGTTAAATGCATCTAACTGCTTAAGCTATCTAATAAAGATGATTCTGTGACCCACCCTAGTGGTGAAATTGTAGCTATTACAACACCTTTATAGTATCTTATTTATGTTCAATCCTAGAGCATTTTACCTACTACCTTAACACAGCAAATGACAGATATGCTGACTAAGAGGACAGCAGAGAAGGAGCCAACATTTATTTAGGATCTCCTATGTGACAGGAACTGCACTAGTTTCCACAATATGAACATTTTCAAAACCTTTACAGTTCTGAGTACTTTACAAGTATTATCTCCTCCATTGGTTAGAAACCCTCCCCAGTCCCCTAGCTGGTAGAGGGCAGGCAGGTATTTGTGGGACCAGAGTTTGGTTCCAGACTCCACATATTGTCACCACACTGCACTGCCTGTCGGTATTTGGAAAAGCAAGTACTAATATATATCGAGTCTGACATATCATCTCTGAATCCTCACAACCACTCTAGGAAGCAGGAATCCGATACGGAAGCCAGAGGATCAGAGTCTAACAACTTGCCCAAGTTCACGCAAGCAAGAAGTGGCAGAGCCAGGGTTTGAATCCACATGTCTGACAACTGAGCTCCTGTTTTCCTGTTCCCACTATGCTGGCCTGCTGACTCTCAACAATTTTACATGCAGCTCAGTTACCTAAAAACTGAAACATTTTTTCCAAAGGCAGAAATTATTATATAAAAAATATCATAGGTGTCAGCATTGCCATCAAAGTAGCTGGGAGTAACTGCACACGCGGCCCCTCCACTGCAGGGTCATGGGCTCTGCTCACCTTATTTCCCCTCAGCATCCAGTGCTAGGTGCCAGTATCAGCTGTGGACTGCACTGGAACACCCTACCTTATCACAACCTGACACATTGCATTTCATGTAATTGTTTTGTAGGTTATTTGCCCCCTCCCCTTTCCCACTACCAAGTAAGCTCCATGGGGCATGGGGTCAGGTTTTTGTCTGTTTTGTTCACCCAAGTATCTCTAGAATCTAGAACGGTGTCGGACAGGTCTACAGTAAGCTGTCTCTAAATATCTGTTAAAAAAATGAATAATATGTAAATGAACAATTAGTCTAGGAATAAAAGTACATCTGGTTCCTAATATTAATATATCCTATACACTAGGTGACTGAAAATCTTTCAAAGGTATTTATTCAGATTTTGTTTGTAGAGTGGAATTCTGTAGGTTGCTTTATAATGTGGTATTCAGGTATACCTAGTTGTGAAAACTTCCACATATTTTTAATCATTAATTATATAACTCAAAACTAATCTGCAGGTGATAACTGTCATCAAACAAGTATCAAAAAAGCTTTGAATTATTATGCTTTATATGTAAAGGAACTAGGAGTAAGAAAGAAAACCTGGCTTTATTCTTCATTTTCAACTTCTCTCCTGCGATCCCTGAGAAAGGGATTCTATTCTGGATATGGACTTGATCTGTAAATTGAGAGGTAAAGTTCTGTAACAGTCCTCTCTGCCTGCACAATACTGTGTGCAGAACCCAGGTACATGGGGAGGGTTACTTGCTAAATGTGCTCCTAGCTCCCTTGACATGTCAACTGTCTGCTTTCTGGAGCTCTAGCTGTAATTATAGCACTAGATTTCTTTACTGTCCTTATGGAACCCATTGCAATGTGGGCTCCATGATGGTAAAGAGAGTGCAGCTTGATTATTCCATCATTCTCAGCATTTAGCACAATACTTTATACAGAATAGCCTATTTCTAAACATTTACTGAGGGCATGGATACATTAAAATTAAGTTTATAAACATAATGGACAGGCAGGTGCAGTGACTCATACCTGTAATCTCAGCAATTGGGAGGCCGAGGTGGGTGGACTGCCTGAGCTTACAGGTTGGAGATCAGTCTGAGCTAGAGTGAGACCTTGTCTCTAAAAAAATAGCCAGGCATTGTGGTGGGTCCCTGTAATTCCAGCTACTTGGGAGGCTGAAACAAGAGTATTTCGTGAATCCAAGAGTTTGAGGTTGCTGTGAGCTAACACGCCATGGCGCTCTACCAAGTGTGACCAAGTGAGACTTTGTCTCAAAAAAACCCAAAAACCCCCCACATACATATACATAGATGGTAATATCTACTGGACCTTAAGTTCTTTCTCTCACATAATCTTTGTTCTTAAAGATGTAAATATTGGTGTAATTTTTTGAAATAATGAAAACATTCTGAGTATAGCAGGTAGTTTCATATATATTTAAATTAAGGAACTGAAAAGACAACTTGGGACAGGCAGGACATATCTGTAGGACTGACAAGAGGTGGGGAGAACAGACCCATCCATCAACCCCCCGACAGATGTCTTGTGAGAGGAATCTTACTTGCTGCTCTGGGGCTTTCCACATTCATACTAAGCAACCAACTAATTTCATTTTCATTTCCCACTGGAAGGAAAAAAGTCCTTTCTGATCAACAGTCTCATTATATACCAAGTAAGACTTATTTTAACTGTTACATTAGTTTTCTAGCACAAGTCAGGCTCATGAGTTAAGACAGCAAGGGGCCCATTTCTTCCATTAAGATTACAGCCCTGCTCTATAGAGAGGCCAAACCTCAGAGCATGAAGAGGTAAGGGCAACCTTGAGACTTTCTCTCACTGTGGATATGCATCTGCTACAACACTAACCACAGATGAGTGTGGGAGAGCTACTGCTCTGTTACAGAGCTGTGTACAAGTTAGGATCATATACATCACCTTTCCTACAACACCAACACGGGGTGACCAGTGTGGGAGAGCTACTGCTCTGTTACAGAGCTGTGTACAAGTTAGGATCATATACATCACCTCTCCTACAACAC